GCTCTAGCAATCAGTTCTGGACCTGCCCAGAGCCCTGGGACGGGGTTCTTCTCTGCCGCCCATGGGGTGCGCAGTTTTAGCAAGCAGTTCTAGGCCCTCCTGGAGTGGGGGAGTCATCCGCAGCCCCCGGCAGGGCTGCGCTAAGGTCTAGCAAGTACTTCTGTGGCTGCCCGGCACTGGGGGCTTCTCTGCGGCCACCCGCCACCCGCGGGAGGGGGTGGGTCTAGTAAGCAGTTCTGGGGCCCGCTTTGTACCTGTATTTTATGTTCTTAAATGATCTTCCTTGGATTTATAGCTTGCCGAACTTCTTTCTGGGCTCAGCTCCCCGTCTTTGACTTCATAGATTCTGATTCCAACCAGTTTTTCTTCCTTTGTTCAGGAGCCTCTGACCAGGGTTGCTACCAGTTGGCCATCTTCCCAGAATCCCCCTACTTATGTTCTTAATAAATAGGCACTACAGTTTTCTTTTCTTCTAGTATCTTTTCCTAGTTTTGTTACCAAGAGAATGCTGGCTTTATAGAATGAGTTATGAAGTATTCCTTACTCTTAAATTTCTGGAAGAGTTTGTATATAATTGTATAATTGGCATTCATGTATATGTGTCTTAAAATAGCATGTTTTTGTTTCTCCCCAGCCCAATCTTTGTGGCATTATCTTTAATTTTAAATATGTTATAAGACTCATACAATTTTTTTGAACAATCAATTATTTTTTAGAGATATTTAAATAATGAAAATTTATCATTTGTTTTCCATGTAGTTACCATTTCCAGTGCTCTTACTTTTCTGTATAGATCCAGAATTTTATCTGATATCATTTACTTTTTTCCTAAAGAATATCTGACATTCTAGTGTGGGTGTGGTAAGGCCGAATTCTTTTAGCTTTCACCTTTTGATTATCTGAAAAAAATCTTTGCTTTACCTTTGTTTCTGAAAGACATATTGCCGGGTATAGAATTCTAGATTGGGGTTTCCTATTTTTCTTTCAGTACTTGGAAGATGTTCCTGCACTGTCTTCTCAGTTGGCCTTGTTTCTGATGAAAAGTCTGATGTCTTTCTTATCTCTGTTCCTCTGCATATAATGTGTCCCTTCACTGTTTGCTTTCAAGATTTTCTCTTTATCACTGGCTTTGTATAGTTTGAGTAAACCACTGATTTGTTTTTATCTTACAAACACCTTAAATCCTGTAACTGGTTGTGCTTCTTTCTTTTACTGGCTGTCAAAAGCTCAGATCCACACTTCTGCCCCAATTAATGAATGCTGTACACACTCCTTATTTGAGCCTTTATCATAACTTCCCTTATTTAATCTTTATTGGTAACTTCCAAGTTTTAATGCTAGCACAGTATATATTTTTTCTTAATTTTATTTTCGTAGTCACAAAAGTAACACATTCTCTTCATATTAAGTCAAATACAGATGGTCTCCAACTTACAACGGTTTAATTTAAATTTTTTTAACTTTACAATGGTGCAAATGTAGTGTATGTACATGTATTTAGTAGAAATCATACTACAAGTACCCAGAAAACCATTCTGTTTTTCACTTTCAGTACAGTATTTAATAAATTGGATGAGATATTTGATACTTTATTATAAATTAGGATTTGTGTTAGATAATTTTGCCCACTTGTTGGCTAATATAAGTGTTCTGAGCACATTTAAGGTAGACTAGGTTAAGCTAGGATATTTGGTAGGTTAGGTGTATTAAATTCATTTTAGGCTTACAATATTTTCAATTTACAATGAGTTTGTAAGTCAAGGGACATCCGTAGTTCAAGTGTGTACAAAGATAATGCTAATCTCTGAATGCTACTCTCTGAGTTAATAGTTATTAATAGTTTAATGTGAAAACTTCTATATCATCTGTCCATGGGTTCCATACTTATTATTATTATTTATAGGTATAAAGGTATATTATTTGTAGGTATCTTTATAATAGTGTATTTATTTTATAAGACCCCTCAAATCCTTTATTGAAAAAGGTAGGATATGTGGAGTTAAACAAGTGGAAATGCTTAATGGTAGTGATGATATAAACATAGCAGTCATTGCAAATATTTGGTGTCTATATCCTTTTTGGGGGGGACGGAGTCTCACTTGATCATCCCTGGTAGAATGCCGTGGTGTCCTAGCTCACAGCAACCTCAAACCCTTGGGTTCAAATGATCTGCTTACCTCAGCCTCCCAAGTAGCTGGGACTACAGGCACCCACCAGAACGCCCAGCTATTTTTTTCAAGATGGGATTTCTCTTTGGCTCAGGCTGGTCTTGAACCTGTGAGCTCAGGAAGTCCACCCTCCTTAGCCTCCCAAGTGCTAAGATTTCAGGCATAAGCCACCACGCCAGCCTCTATTTCCTTTTTGATGGCTGGATTTGAATCTCCTTAATAGGGCTCACCTTTGGAGTCTATAACTCAGAGCATATAAGCTCTAGCCCCTACATCATATAGCCAGCAAACAAGGGGAAGTTTTGACCTTTACTCTTTTTCAGATTATCAAAGACCTGCAATTGCTGGGGCTGGTGGCAGGCCTGGTGATAGCTGATGTGATCCTGCTCGTGACCTGGGTACTGACTGACCCTATCCAGTGCCTCCAGATCCTCAGTGTCAGCATGATGGTGAGGGTCCAAATCCTTACAGAATCTAATTCATGGACCAGGCTGGCCTCCGTGGATACACAGGGGTCATCCTTGCAACAAGAAGATAAAGCCATCTAGAGAAAGGAGAGTCAGCAGCTGGGGCTGCCATGAGTGCCTTGCCTGGGCCTGCAAGGTGTGCTGCTGCACACACTACCTCTCTTGTGCCAGTGTCTCTTTATGGGTGTCTGCTGAGATGTCAGCAGCACCCAGGATCTCGCAGTTGTTGCTGCTTCCACGTTATCAGTGAGGAGAAATTCCTGCCATGAGCCCCAGCCATGATGTACCCCTTATTGCCAAGAGGTCAAGGTAGTCTTTGGAGGTGGTGTTTGGAGCTGGTCAGCCCTGGTTCAAATTCCATCTCTGCCAAGTTCACCAGCCATGTGATACTGGGAAAGTTATTTAACTTCTCCAAGTCTCTATTTCCTCATATGTAAAATGGAGATATTATTACTATCTACTTCACAAGGCTGTGGTGAAGATTAAGTGAAACAATGCAGGTAAGGCACTTAAGTATCCCCAGTACCTACTGCTCATTTAATAGAAAGTATTACATGTCTCCAGTCTCACAAGAAGGTGAGGAATCATGACGATGCAGTATAATGTTAAATGTTCAACTATTTGAAAACAGCAGGTCCATGATTTGCTGAGGCACAGCTCCACTGTGGTAGCAAAGCACACCACTGAGGATAAGTCCTGCTGCCACTAGGATAAGTCTGCTCCAACGCAGACTCACTCTCATCTACGTTCTAACAGAGTCACTTACATTTACAGTTTTTACATACTGAGGGGAAAATCGTGGGCTGTAGAGGAGCTCATGCTCTAGAATGTTCACAGAGATCTGTGTGTTCCTGGTAATTGTGAGTCCTGACTCTGTGTCCCTCCTAGGTGACAGGGAGAGATGTGTCCTGCTCTTTGACCAGCACTCAATTCTGTGCTTCCCGGTACTCGGATGTCTGGATTGCTCTTGTTTGGGGTTGCAAGGTTGGTAACCACATCTCCCCGGAATGCAGTCTGTCACCAACAAAATGGATATGAAGAGAGAACCACAGGAATTAACGAGATGATGTTTGCAAAGAATCTTGAACTGTGAGGGGGGAGTCACTTTTTGAACTCTTTAGATTCCCTAGTTTAGTCCTCCCCACATCACACTGTTTCTCTTGTTTCTTAGTCTGGTTTTTTAATTGGTTTAGCGGTGCCAGTTTTCTTCACAGCTCTCCTGCAAGGGGAGTTCTGAGGAGACATTTGACCCAACTCAATTTCTTCTCCTAAGTGCCCCTTATTATACTTTTCTGTGTTTCTTCAAGATGTGGGTCAAGGTGTCCTTCTACTTTTCTTTTCATCCACCTCACTCTTGCTCTGGTGGAAAGCAGGGCTGACTCTGAGACAGATGACAATATTCATGGCATCCTTTGAGGTGTTCCCACTGTCTCAAAGTGTCTCTAATACTACCCTAGTCTCCCATCATTAGACTCATTTGTCTCTGTTAGATAAGCAGAAGTAGGGTATTGTTTCCACAGAGTATAAGATACCTTCCTGAGACCCTAATGGAGGCTCTCAGAAGAAGACAGTTAGTTTTTAGCCTAGAGGACTGGCTCTGAGGGGTATAGGATAGACCCATTTCAATGAACATGGCACACCCTACATGGGAGGAGGCTGCTTGTTGAGTATCAGAGTAGGGAGACCTTGTAGATTGATTGATGGCAAAGAGGAGGCTTTTTTTTTTTTTAAGACAGAGTCTCACTCTGTTGCCCAGGCCAAGGTGCCATGGTGTCAGCCCAGTTCACAGCAACTTTAAACTCTTGGGCTTGAGCAATTCTCTTGCCTCAGCCTCCACAGTAGCTGGGACTACAGGTGCCTGCCAAAATGCCTGGCTAATTTTTCTGTTTGTAGTAGAGTTGGAAGTCTTGCTCTTGCTCAGGCTGGTCTTGAACTCCTAACTTCAGGCAGTCCTCTCACCTTGGCCTCCCAGAATGCTAGGATTATAGGCTTGAGCCACCGCACCAGATAGGAACTTTACTCATTCCTCCATCAGGAAAGTCTAAGAAATGGTTCCTTCAGAGGAGCAGCCTGGGAAAGGCTAGGGCCAGAAAATGTTGCTTTATAACTATGGGCATAAGTCACTCTGATGGAAATGTTTAAGAGAAAAGGCTAGGAAGCGAACGGCTCTTGATCACTAGTATCTTGCTAATGGTTAAGAAAATTAGCTTCAGAATGTGACAGACCAGGGTTTGGATTCTGACTCTGCCCTTTCCTAGCTGAACTGAGCCTCACTGAAAAAACCTCATTGAGTCTCAGTTCCCATGTTGTAAACTGGGCGTGAGGATAACAGCTTTTCTGAGCTTCTCTAAAAGTTCTAAAAAGTTCATGCATGTTAAGGGTTTCAGCCACTCCCGGCACATAAGAGCTCAATAAATGACAGATATCATTACTACTTTTTTTCCACTGCCCCCAGACAGTTCTGGAAAATACAGTGCCTCTGTTGGCTCTTTGAGTTCTTATAAAAGAACATGTCCTCCCCACCCCAGAAACCCGGCATGTCCCCCACAGCAACTCTTTGTGACTCAACTTGATTTATTTTCTCCATTGCTTTTTTATGCTCCCATTTCCATTTTATTTCACTATAATATCTCTCTGCAGGACAAAAAAGAAAAAAAGAGTGGTGAGCATCAGGAGCCAGACCCCAAAGGCTTCCTGGCTAGTGAGGTGCTCCTAAGGAGAACCCCTATCTCCACATTAAGTTCTAAGACCCACACATACACCTGAACCTGTAGCTATCCCCCAACCCACACGTCTCAGCAGTTAACGCAAATTACATGCAAGGATCGGATATGATTCACTCGAACATGAGCCGTGGATACATAGAGGTTTTATTCATAGTTACTTCTCTTTTAACAAGAATTTCAATGAAATCAAAATCTTTGAATGGAATCATATTTGAACATTTCAAAATCATAGAATTAATTTCATTTGCCTAGATTAAATTACTAATGATCCAACTCTGCTGATTACCACCTGATAGCATCAGTCACCCAAAAGTCAGGCCGCACTGGCCTCCTGACTTCTGGGTCCTCTAGTTGTTGAAGCTCTCAGGGTGGCCACATTTGGCCTTCGGGTCACATTTGGAACATAGAGACAGCTATAGGCATTTCTGACATGTTGATTCTTGTCCCTCCTGGCACAGCCATTTTTCAAAAAAATTATCTTTAGTGCTATCTTTGCAGGTAGGGTTGGCCAGGTTATATGATTTCAGGGTCACTAACAGGTGTCCTGCTGACCCCTGACCTCACTTTCTTTATTAGTTCCCCTCTGAATACCATGGCTCCCACCCCACCTGGTTGCCCGTGGTATCTTCACATGCTGGGTTATAAACATGAACATTTGTGTGCTTATGTGAGATCTACCTGCCAGACTAGGTGCCTTGAAAGTCAGAACCATGACATATTCTTTATAGCACTGCTCTCTACCCTAAACCTAGTATGGGACTTTGAACATACATTGAACTTAGATATTGTGTATTATTGATTAAAGCGTTGATTTCTATATAAATGCAGCTCCTGTGGGAGAGGCAGCACTTTAAGGGGCTGTGAAATATGTTCTTCTTAGTACAAATGAGAACACTAAGAGCAGGTTGATATTCCCAGGAAAGAGGAAAGAATAGGGCCCTGGGTTCCTTGTGGTGGGGGCACGGAATTTCACCAAGAGGGTGAAAAGTAAAGACGGTGCTTTTGCTGTCTGTGCCTACCCTACAGTCCTGCGTAGGTCCCAGCCTGCCCTTGTCTTTTTCATCTTCCATAAACACTCACTGGCACAGAGCCACAGCGAGCCTATAGAGACCCTTTGTGTAAGTTAGGAAACAGTATCCCTTCTAGGCAGTGCAGTCTTGCAGGTGCAGGACTTGGCAAGCAGATGGTTCCTTTGGATAAATTGGAAAAACAGCCCCTTCCTCTGGGCACCGCCCCTGCTGTGGCATGTGACTTGACAAATAGACCAGGTCAATTTCAGCTTCCAGGTGGCTCTCTGTCTTCCTAGTGCCCAATGGCCCTTTCTGTAGGACTGAACCCACCGGGATGTTCCTGTGCCTTGTTGCAGAAGAATCCTATATGGTGGGTGACTTGCTGATTCTGATTAACTAATTCTTAGTGAAAGAGAAGAAAATATCATTGATGAAGTACCTACTGGGTATAAGGGGCTGTCCCAAATCTTACTATGTGTTACCTTAGTAAATTCTCATGGAAACCTTAGACGTATTATTGGTATTATTATCCCAATTTTACAAAGGAAGAAATGGGTTCCCACCTTACTGCTCTTTACCCTGTGATTCCACTCCTTTGAGCCTCTGGTTCTCCTCTCTGCCCCAGGGTCTGATGCTGCTGTGTGGCGCCTACCTGGCTGGCCTCACTAACCACGTCAGCTCTCCTCCTGTGAATCAGTCCTTTACCATCATGGTTGGGGTCAACCTCCTGGTACTGGCTGCTGGGCTGCTTTTTGTGGTCACCAGATACTTGCACTCTTGGCCCAACCTGGTCTTTGGACTCACATCTGGAGGCATCTTTGTTTGCACAACCACAATCAACTGCTTCATCTTCATCCCCCAGGTATGCTACAGGAAAAATCTGGCAGGACTGGTCCTCTTGGTCACTCGATTGTTTTCGCTGGATGCAACAAATTGCCCACTTTGTCCTCTACTGATAACCCCTCTATACCATTTTTTGGAGAGTCAGAAGGTAGGCAGGATTCCCAGTGAGCTGACCACCTCTGCCTTTCTTCACTGTCCTGGAGGAAGACAGCACTGCTCCCTGGTCAGCAAGGAAGGGAGGCCAGAGTGGGCCAAGCAGTGATGGCAACCCCCATTTCCACCCTTCGCAGCTGTGGTGCCTGTTCCTTAGGGGGCTGCCTCAAAGATCTGCTTCTCCAACCACCCTCCAGTCCACTGCTCTCATTCCAAATCCCCCCTTCACTTCAATAACGTTATTTTTTTCACTCGTCTGGAAACCTTTATGTCTTTCCAATTGGGGATTGTTGATTTACAAGGAAAGATCCATTTAGAACTTTATGACTTAAAATGCTTTTCCTATCTTCTTATTGGGAGACTATTTATGAAATGTTGCTCTTTTTTTGCAAGAAAGAGAAATAAAAACTAAATAAAAATATATTTCATATTATGAAGATTAAGAAAAATATCAGACTGGGAGCAGTGGCTCATGCCTGTAATCCCAAAACTCTGGGAAGCCAAAATGGGGGGATTGCTTGAGTTTAGGAATTTGAGATCAATGTAAGCAAAAATGAGACCACCTCACTACTAAAAACAGAAAAAAATTATCTGGGCATTGTCATAGCAGGTGCTGGTAGTCTCAGCTACTTGGGAGGCTGAGGCAGGAGGTTCACTTAAACCCAGGAGTTTGAGGTCATGTGAGCTAACATGCCACAGGACTCTAGCCTGGGCAATAGAATGAGACCTAGTCTCAAAAAAAAAGAAAGAAAAGAAATCAAATGAGGAAGGAAGCTAGAAGCAGAAAAAGCCAGACAGCAAAAAAGAAGAAAGAGAGTTGGAGGAAAAGAAGAGATCCACTGGCTCAGAAGGGAAAGTGATCAGTAATGTTCGCGCTGTGCCCTAGGGACTGCGGAACCACATACATCTAAGTTAATGAACTCAGCATTAGACACTCCCTGTGTCCCTCCTAGTCCTCCCTTTCTTCCCCTGTGAGGCCTCCCTCACCCTTCTCTTCCTCAAGACCCCATGCTGATTCCCAGTGAAGCTTCCAGGTGACTATGAACTGCATCCTCAGGAGGGAGCTAACTGATCATGTAAGTGTTGGCTGGTGGAGGGTTACTGTGCATTTTCAAAAGGGGGAGTGTACTTTGGGGTGTGATAGCGTGCACAGGCATGGGCCCTTTACTCTTCTTCCTGTTCCTCAATTCTCATTAAAACACTGAACAGAATAAATGAACATGGAAAAGTCTGCTGCAGCAGCACTGGAAACCAAGGACGGATATTGCCTCTGTGCCAGAAACTGGAGGGATGTTTGCCAAATCTTAATGTTATAAGAACTGGAATGAAGGAAAGAACTGAGAGCTGAAGCTTATTTGTCTGGAATGTAGCAGAAATGGTCTCTGAAAAGCAAGGACTTTTGCTCCCTAGGAGACGGAAGCAAGTGGGCAGGGGACTTTGGGGAAAGCCTGAAGGCTAACATCGTTGATTGTTAACATCTTTGCCAACCCTTTTCTTCCATGTTTATCTCCACTAGAGAGACTGAAAGAACTAAACTATTGCTTTGCCAGCCTACTTGACAGCTAGCAGTGCCAAAGTGCTACTATTTTGAACAATAGCGTTTTTCTGGGAAGCTTCTGAGAAAGCTTCTTCTTTCCAGAAAAAAAAAAAAAATGATGAGCATGGTTGACATAACCTCTTTTACATTCTTCCTGCCTTGAATGTATGTGTCACCTGGATATATACCAACCATCTTGTACCCATGAGGAGAATATAGCTCTTCTCATGTAAGACTATAAATTTAGGGGGAAAAGAAGCTATGAAAGAAATCTGCAGCTCACAAGAAAAAGACTACAAATTTCTCAAGATTTGGAGAAGCTGCCTTCCTCTGAAGTACAACAGAAGTTTTTAGAAGACACCTGATTTGTCTTGGCAATGGAATTCTAAAGATACCGCCTCTGTCCAACTAAAGCAAACTATCATGAAAGGACATACATAATCTGAGATAATGAAATATTGAACAAGGATGAGAAATAGTGTATTAAATAAGAAACCCCAAAAGAAGTACTGAATAGACGATTAGACCTTGCAAAACATTGAATTCATGAATTCATTTAATGAGACAAAAAGGAAGAAAACAGATAGAAATGGGAGATTAGGTAAAAAAAAAAAAAAATAAGGAAAGCATCTAGGGATGTAATTGAAAGCTATAATAGGAGTCTCTGAAAGAGAACAGAATAATTCCAAGTGATCATCAAGGAACTATTGGAGGGAAGCCTTCCTGGTCTCAAACATGCCCTCTGTCTGAAGATTCAATCAGTGACCTATGATGTTGCCCTGCTTACATCTCTGCCCACCCTCGCCTGTCACTACCACCTCCTTGTACCCCAAGCCTCTGCCACATGACTTCTGCTTCCTCTGTAGATCCTGCTCTGATCTACACCCAAAAGTGCAGGATAAAGTACAGCTTGAAATGTGACTTCCAGGTTTGAGCTAAGCCACAAGCCCTGGATTTGTTGAAACAGGAGTAGAAATGAACGACTATGGGGTCAGGAGCTGGGGGAGGGACAACATGGGCCTTTTTCTTGCCTTCTGCCTGGCCCCTCTTCCCCTTTTCCTCCTAGTTTTCTTGAACTTACTTTCTCTTCCTTTATCTTTCCTCTTCTATTTTCTTTCTCATTATTCCCTCCCTCAACTGATCATGATTTGAAACTAAAAAATATATTTTATAGTCTACTACATTTTAGGCTTAGGAGGTCAATTCTTTTACAAAATGTAAAAATAACTGAGGTTAGTCAGTTCCTCTCAGAGGTCTGTGGTAAATGAACAAATCCCCCCCCACCCCCCCGCCCCAGAGACTTACATTGTGTCTTCCCAAGAGAGCAGGACAGCTGACAAAATTTGAGAAAGTGCGTGAGAGGAGCTGCGTGGTGGGAGGTTGGAGGGAGGGGCGTTTGCAGCAAGGTGGGCCCTCCTCCTCCCACTGAGCTTTCAGACAGGATGTGAAGGGAGGGGGTTGTGAAAGCAAAGGCACAGATTACCCACCAGGGGCAGCCAGGGGGCGCCAGAGAGCTGGGTGAAATGGATGACGTTACTGGAGAGGCAGGTGGATCCAAAGCTTTCTGCACAGGCCCTCAGGAAATGCCAGGAGTGTTTATGCCAAGCACTGGCTGTAATCAGCCTGTCTCTGCTTTTGTGACTGGAATGTGACCCGTCCTCTCTCTCCACTCCCTCGGAGAGGCAGGCAGGTCCTGAGGTAGGACATTTTTTCTCTAAGCCCCAAAGTGTTTCATCTCCCCTCCATGAAGAGTCAGAAACCAGAGTACAAAGTTAGGGCTTTGTACTCTGGTTTATAGTTACCTCTTTATGTCCCAGCACCCTCACTAGACCAGCGTTTGTTAAAGGAAACCTTCCTTCATTTGTTCATGTATCCATCCATCCAGGTGGTAACTTCTGGGAACACAGTTGAAGACTTGGCCTCACCTGTAGGTTTAGTAGGGAGCAGACATGAAATGAATCATAATACATGTGTCAAGAGCTTTAAGGAAGGGCTGTTACGCCAGGCTAAGGAAGACCCTCCCCAGCTTGCCAGGGAACTCTGTGACTCCTTCTCAGAAAAAGGAGTGTTTGAGCTCAGTCCTGAAGGAATAGTAATAGTTCATTAAACAGAGGATGGCATTGCAGACTGGAGAACCCCATAACCAGAGGCAGAGAGGTGTAGGGAGAACAGGGTTTATTTAAAGCACAATGAGTCTTTGGTGTTTTTGAAGCACAAATGGAAATAAGGAGAGAATGACAAGAGGTAAGAAGGACAGGCCTGGTGTGTCCTGTCAAAGACTCCACATTTTATCCCATTGTAATAGTTTCCTTTTGCTGTTGTAATAAATTACCACAGATTTAGTGACTTAAAATAATGGAAATTTATTAAGTTACAATTCTGGAGGACAGAAATCTGAAATATATTTTGGCTAAAACTATCAACATGTCAGTGGATCTGTATTCCTTCTGGAGGCTGCAGGGAAGAATTCGTTTCCTTATTTTCTTCAGCTTCTAGAGGCCACCTGCCTTCTTTGACTCATTCTCCATCCCTCCAACTTCTGAGCCAGCGTGTGGCACATTCAGATCTCCCTCGATAGCCTGTTTTTGTTGTCACATCTACTCTGCCTCTGACCCTCCTCCCTCCCTTCTGTGATTACTTTGGGTCCACCCAGATAATCCAGACTAATCTCTCCATCCCCAAATCCTTAACTTGTTCTCATTTGCAAAATTCCTTTTGCTATGTAAGGTAGGATGTTCACAGGTTCCAGGGATTAGAAGGTGAAGAACATCTTCGAGGAGCCGTTATTCAGCCTACCACATCCACATAGCTCAGAGGCTGAGAAAGCCAGAACATGACTGTCCTTCTGAAGGGTCAAGTCTTGAGGACCAACATCTTCACAAATAAGGAATTAAGGGAAGTGGAGGGAGCTTTAGTCACCGCCTACCTGACTGGACTCCACCTGGCCAACCAAGGAGAACAGACTGGAAGTGCCTTTATGCCAGTGTTGAACTATCCTCCAGCAGCCCTGCAGAGATGCCTCAGACTGGGGGTGCTAAGGGAAAGAAAGGAGAAGCTGTACTGCTAAGGAAAGGGGGGCAGGGACCTGAGCAGAAGCAGAAACACTGCAACTCCGCCAGGGTCAGTGCTAGAAGAGAAATCCTAGGAGGTCTACTCCATCCACCAAGACCAGAGAGTGACTGTGGTGCTGGCTCCGCTGGTTCCTGAGTCAGATGTTGAGTTGATGGCATCCCTCAGGGGGACAGGGGCCTTTGAGAAGGGCATCTGAGAGGTGACATTCCTGGCCTGACCCTGCACAGGTCACACAGGCGCCTGACAAGATGGACTCATGCTGAGTCAACAGAGGACCCAAGAGGACTTGGGTGAGAATGTGGTATTGAAATTGATGGTGGGATTTAGAATTCTATCTGAGATTTGCAAAATCTGAGTTACATTCCATAGTCAGAACTTAATAAATGTTTGATGAGTAAGCCAGGAAATTCCACATTCCTTTTGAGGCTACCCATAGATACCTCAGCACCATTTCTAGAACTAATGTGCCAAACTCCACAGCATCTATCACTAGGACGTTTAGTTATAAAGATTTCCTAAGGGAAAAGAGAGATCTCCACCTCGGTAGCATCCTCTGTCATTCACATCACTGGCATTCCCCAGGTAGAGACAGTGACCCAAAGGCTCGGGGAGACCCCTGTTTGTGAATATTCCCTGTCAGCTCCATCCCTGTTAAACTAAAGCAGCCTATGTTTGCACAGATTGTTTCCAAGAGCAGTTTCTCCTGAAGAATCTTCCCTAGGACCCCCACAGTTCACAGTCTCTCTCTCCATCAACTGCGTGAGCACTTGTGGAGGGGCCCAGTGTCCTGGTTACAGCAGGGGTTCTGCTGATAACTCTGGCTTTGACAGTCCAACTCGTTTAGAATCTTTTCTCATTTGTCCAGATCTCAGACCTAATGTTCTATCACAGTGTTTCTCAACCTTCCTAATGCCACGACCCTTTAATACAGTCCTGTGGGTTGAGAACCGCTGTTCTATCATGTTTATTAACATTGTGGCTCTCTGTTTGAGCCTTAATAATTGACTTGGATTGTGAAGTCCACCAGCAAGAAACTGGGTTTTCAATAGAAGCAAGTACACCATTAGTGAATAAATGAGAAACAATTAAGAATAGCTGTGTACAACTAGAAATGTTTTCTTTTTCTTCTTCTTTTTTTTGTTTTTTTTTTTGAGACAGAGCCTCAAGCTGTCCCCCTGGGTAGAGTGCTGTGGCATCACAGCTCACAGCAACCTCCAACTCCTGGGCTCAAGCGAGTCTCCTGCCTCAGCTTCCCAAGTAGCTGGGACCACAGGCACCCACCACAACGCCCAGCTATTTTTGGTTGCAGCCATCATTGTTGTTTGGCAGGCCCAGGCTGGATTCGAACCCACCACCTTAGGTGTATGTGGCTGGCGCCTTAGCCACTTGAGCCACAGGCGCCGAGCCACTAGAAATAATTTCATTTGAAGCATTCAATGTATAGATTGCTTATGATAATTCCTAAGCACTGGCTTTAGAATGTGGCTCTGGAAGTGTACTTCAACTCTGGTTGTCTTTGATCCGTTTGGCAATGGGGTGGCATATTGGCCAAGGTTGTTCTACTTCATCTGTCATCTTTTGGCATTTTTAAAACTCTCTAACCTTAATATTCTCTGTACATTCTGTTATTAATGTCTATGAGCTCTCCAGAGGAGAGACAAGCTGGTCCCCGTGTGTATCCGTGGCAGCACCGTCTTTTGGTGTTTGTGAGAGAGAGAGAGAATGTGCTTCTTGGTATGTAATTAAATAAGTAACATGTGTTCTTTTATCTAACAGCTGAAGCAATGGAAGGCATTTGAAGAGGAAAACCAAACAATCAGATGCATGGCCAAATATTTCAGCACTCCCAGCAGAAGCTTTCCAACCCAGTATGGTGAGGAACAGAACTGCCGCCCAAGAGGAGAGAAAAGTTCCATGGAGAGGCTCCTCACGGAAGTAAGCTGCACCCCTGCCTGGGGGATCTCCTGCAAAGAATTCTGGTTATGCGGCAGTGGCCCCCAGATGCTCTCGCTGCTACTATTCTTTTTTCCTCCCATTCTCCCACTTCTCTGAACAGCAAGCAAAACTTCAGCATTTCCCCGTGACCCACATCTGCTTCATTCATTCAATGAACAGAGGTATATCAAGTCACTCATCAGCATTGTGCCAGCCATTGTGCTAAGTGCAGATGGGCAAAAACATAGTTCCCACTCTCATGAAGTTCACAACTGAGGAAACAACATATAAATTGTGATAAGAATTATGAAGGAAAAACTCAGAGTGGTAAGACAGAATAATAGGGTAGTAAGGGCAAGGGAATCTGGTCAAAAAGATTCTCTGAGCTAAGGGCTGAAGGTAACAGTACATAGTGGTCAGGCAAAGAGTACAGGGAAAAGCCCTCCAAGCAGAGGGAACAGCAATGTAAAGGCCCTGAGCTGTGATGGACACTGGCTTCTGTGTGATACTCTTTTCACACAGAGTGGTGCCATCGTGTCCAGGATCTTATGGGGCCCTGACTCTCTTTTCCAGGTACTGACTAGGGATCTCAATCAGCCCAGAGAGTCCAGACATGGGGAAGGGGACTAAAAAGGGGCTTCTGAATGTTATTATAGCACCAAGGGGGAACCAGGCAGCTCCCAGCTCTTCTTTCTTCTGTGCTTGAGCCAGAGTTGGCTGCTGTCCCAGACTTGGGCAGTGTTGTGAGTGCTTGAAGAAAGCACGTGGAAAAGCTTGAAGGCTGCGTTGACTCAGGAAGAAGGCACAGGGCCCAGAGGAATTAGTCAGTATTTTGACACTAATTGAATTATATTCCATATTTTATTCAGTTCAGAACACATCGAAGTAGGTGCTATTTGGGAAATTGGGCCTTTGTGTAATTGGACTGCCACCTGGGAGGTAACAGTCCCTGGTGAGAAGACGGTTTGATGGGGACCTACAAAACACAACAGATGAAAGGGTCTAGTCTGCCCAGGCACCCAGCATCCTCTGGTCTCCCACACAGTACCCTCTTTTGTCCACCAGAGAAATACCTCTCATCTCTTTATTATTTATGAAGTATTCATGATATTATTTCAAAGCCAGATTTCTTCCCACCTGGAAAGTGAGTAGCATTGCCTTTGATATTCTGTGAAGTATCAAAGAAGCATTTTTCCCCCCAGCTAAACAGGAGGCCAGAAACTTGGCTGAAACAGCCAGGACGGTTTTCATTCACCATCAGTTAATGTTGGAACAGCCAAGTGGACCGACTCTTTAGCCTCATGGTAATGTGCAACATGCTATTTGTACTCCTGCCATGCTGCCCTGTTTCCCACTCAGGGACTTAATCTGCTCCATTCAAAAGGATGCCCTGAGTCTGCAGAGGAAAGGCCCTCCACATAGGCAGGAAAAGCTGACACACTACACCCAGTACACACTACACCTGCAAGCCCTTCCCCGGAACTGGCCTGAAAACCAGCAGCTGGCCCTAGGGCCCCATGGCAGGCCTAGACAGAACCCAGTAGTCTCGTCCCCAGCTCTGGTGCTGCCCACTAGGTAAACATAAATCTCTCTCCTGCCTCAATATATGCCCCTGGGGCGGCTCATGGTTTGAGGGCCCAATGAAGGGCCCTCTGCCGCTCTGGTGCCTCCCTTTACTTTACCATGGTCTCAGCGTCCATCTTTGCATTCTTATCTCTCTTGCCCCTATGGCCAGGGGTCCACCAGATGCTGTTTAGAGTGACTTCCCTATCTGAATGAAGACCAGTAGATAGAGCCTTCTACATTCTGCCACCAAGAAAACCTACTTATTACTTTTCTTGCTTGAGCCATAGAAACAAGAGGTTGATTCCATTTCTCCTCATGGCCTGCACCCTATGAAACACACCAGTAGTCATTTTGCTTCCCCCAATGTGCCAAGAGTAATAATTAATAAGCTCATTGAAATGTGACTGCCACTGTGGTCAGATTTTGGTCTCACAATGGCGGCACCTCAGACCACGCCTCTAATAAGTATGCAGCCAGGGTGAAAACAGTCCCACTTCCTTTTCTGGAAGAAGGGGAATTTACTGTTTAGGTTGACATTTCTAAATATGTCAGCAGCCAGCTTCAGATGTTTGGTTTGCTGGGAGAACATTATTCTTCCCAACTCAGTGTTTATTCTGTTTTTCTGTACTCAAAAGACTTTGTGGATAAAGCACAAAAAGGCAGCACTCAGATTTTGCCCACTGGAGTGTTTGTCATCAGCTTCTTCCTAACTCCATGAGGCAACAGAGGCCTGAGGAAGGCAGCATGAGAACGTGCAAGGTGGGCTACAGGAGGAGGGACGGGGAGAGGAGGCAATTGGGGCTCTTCCTGTGCAGCCATCACACTCACCCTGTGAGATCCTCAGAGAGAACTGGCACAGGCTAGATACCATGAACAGGCCGAGTGTCCCCTGTTACTCATCCACACCGCTCCTAGTGAGTCCTTGAATCATCTGCACTTAACCAGCAATACCCAGACTTTATCACTCTGTAGGTGCTTAGCTGAAAGTCCCTTCTGCTTTATTCATCAGCCACTCACTGGTCCTCAACTCCCTCCTGATGGTAAAAGAAGTAGCTAAACCAGGGTGAAACTGAAACTGCTTACTATTAGAAAAATCCCCTTCCTGCTCATACATGGGGAGCATTGGGGCTGCCTGGGGTGTTACTAGTCAGAATATTGGACTATTTTACTTAAGTTATGTTCCCTTAAAGCTGCAGTCCCCAACCCCCGGGGCCGTGGACTGATAGAGTTCCACGTGTGGCCTGTTAAGAACTGGGCTGCACATAGCAGTGGGAGAGAAGCAAAGCTTCATCTGTATTTACAGCTGTTCCCATCACTCACTGATTCTGCATTATGGTGAGTTGTATAATTATTTCATTATATATTACAATGTAATAATGACAGAAATAAATTACAGCCAGGTATGGTGGCTCATGCCTATAATCCCAGCACTGTGGGAGGCTGAGGAGGGAGAATTGCTTGAGCTCAGGAGTTTAAGACTTGTCTGAGCAGGAGTGAGACCCTGACTCATAAAAAAATGAAAAACCTAGCCAGCTCTGTGGTGAATGCCTGTAATCCCAGAAGCTTCCAGAGGCTGAGGCAGCAGGATGCCCACAGCCAGAGTCTGAGGTTGCCCCCTGAGCTATAACGCCATTGCACTCTGCTCAGGGCACAGAATGGAACTCTGTCTCAACAACAACAACAAAGCAAAGAAATAAAAAGTAAAAGAAACAAGGAAAGAAAAAGAAAAAAGAAAGAAAGTACACAATAAATGTGATACATTTGAATGAATCATCCTGAAACCATACCCCCACATCCAGTCCATGGAAGAATTATCTTCTGTGAAACTCGTCCCTAGTGCCAAAAAGGTTGAGGACTGCTGCCTTAGAAGATCATTTCTAGGCAGCTCTCTCATGTAAACTTGGTTCAGTCCATAGGCAGCTTGTATTGCTTAACCTAAAAAGGGAACCTTCTTTTGTTTCTAGGGCACAGTTCATGTATGTCCAAATGCCCCTCCTCAGCTTCTAAAGGTGATGGCAGCAAAAGGCACCATTTTGTTATGCTGATACACACTTCCTTGACCATAAGACTTATGTTTTTACCTTCCCCAAACTCTTAACACCATGTCATCTGCCCGAGCCCAGCTGTTCCTCCATGAAAATCTCATCCCTGCTTCTCTGCTTCTGAGCAGAAGAAACTTCCAAAGAGACACAAGCTGCTGCATCCAGGAAAGATGTCCAGGGTTTAGTCATTCCCTACACATCCACTGCCGACACTCCTTCTACTCAGTGCCCCAGAATCTTGCAGTTGGGTTCACATGCATCTCTGTAGCTGTCGTCTGCCAGCCTTCCTGGGCACAATCTGTTGGTCAGCTACATCTGTGTAACAAGTAAGCAGCTCGATAGCAGAGCTGCCCCAGCCTCCTTCATCTCCTGGACTCCATTCTAGGTCTGTTGAATCAAGCCATCGGGGACTTGGGCCCAACAATCCTTTTTTTGTTTTTTTAAAGCTTCTCTGATAGTTCTGATGTATTCGCTTCTTTAGGAGATGCCAGAAACTGGTGCCACCACGGATTAGCTCTGGCTTCTCACCCAGCCTAAGGAAGTGATGACACTTAACCTGAGATTCTCTTTGGCCCCTGCTAGCTCCAGTCTTTTTTATTTTCCCCAGGAACCTCCACCCTTCTCCTTGTTCTTTCTATCTTCCAGACTGTTTAGCAAGAGGCAAAATACTTGTTTCCTCATTTGTTCATCCCCTGCAGATGTATTTCAGATTTATTTGTGTTTTGCAAAAGTGTGATAAGCCCAGAGTCGGACCATCCCAAACATCACTCAGGCTGGTGTCCTGCAGAATGACCTGACCCTCTCATTTCTGGGGTAGGGTCAGGGGACGCACCTAAGCAGCTGAGACTCCTCCCTCCTGAAACAATGCCACACAACCTGGGGATGTATGGGGGAGATGACAACAATGAAAACTTGTGGCTATTTATTGAGCTGCATCACTGCCAGTTATTGTGCATATCAACTCATTTCACCTCAAGGAGGAAGCTCTTCATCAGGGGAGGCCACCAGGCAATAAATCCCTTGGACAAACCGGAATTTAAACCAAGATCTTCTGAAGCCACAGTTTTTCCACCCTGGGAGGCAGCATGAGACCCTCAGCCACAACTTTTGTTGATGTTTTTCCTTTTATTTTACAGAAAAATGCTGTGATTGAAAGCCTGCAGGAACAAGTAAATAATGCCAAAGAGAAACTAGTGAGGCTGATGTCAGCTGAGTGCACCTATGACCTCCCAGAGTGGGCTGTCCCGCCTGCCTCCTCCCAGAGCAAGGACGTCCAGACCACAGCCTCGGCCCGGCGGCCTTTGGAAGGCCTCTCTGGCTCTCAGAATGATACCAGTATGGCTGCCCAGGACACCCAGCATAGTTCAGTGCCCCCCTTAGGTGCACTAAGCCCTGAGAGGCCTGAGAAGGACACCAGCCCCTCCCCAGGGCAGCAGAAGAAGTCTGACCTGAAACGCTTTTCTGATCATTTAGACTCATGTTACAGTCAGAAGGCACAGGCTGAGCAAACCAAGAACACAGAAGGAGGAGAGCAGGTATCGATGGTCCCCAGCCACAGCCTCCTACCAGCTAGAGGAGGCACTGATGCCCAGACACTGAGGCAGCTGGAGAACTCAGAGGCACCCCCAGAGCAGCTGTCAAGGGTCAATTCAGTGATCAGGGAGAAACTTCAGGAAGTCTTACAAGATCTGGGCCTAGGCCCTGAGGCTCCACTGTCCTCCTCCCCAGCTCGGCCCCAGCAGCTATGGAAGACCAGTGCTGCCTTAGGCCCCCAGAAGATGCCCGTCTCCAAGGAGCTGGGCTTCAGCCCATACCTGGTTAGGAGAAGGCGGGCAGCTCAGCGTGCTTGCTCGCGCCTTCCTGGCTCTGTACCCTCATACAGACCAAATAGGGCTTTTCCTGGGGCACACTGTGGGCTGAATGTGCAGAATGCAGACAGCCCTAGCCTGGCCCCCCAAACTGCTGATTCCAGGGGACCACGACCTTCTTCCAGGAAGCCTCCTCTCCTTCCAGATCTTCAAGGCAGGCCGAGCACCCTAGAGGAGAACAAACAAAGCCAGAGAGATCCCCAGGGGACTGCAGGGAGCGACGCGGCCTTTCCTTACCAGCCTCCTGGTCCTGCTGCCCCACGTCTACCCAGACCCTCACCTGACTTGCCTGAGCAGTGGCAGCTGTATCCCCCCGCGTCCCCAGGCTGTCCCTCCCTGTCTTCTCAGTACGACTACTTTGACACTGAGTCCAGCAGCTCAGATGAGTTCTTCTGCCACTGCCACCGGCCCTACTGTGAAATCTGCTTCCAGAGCTCCTCTGAGTCTAGTGACAGTGGCACATCAGACACTGACCCTGAGCCTGCCAGGGGGGTGGCTTCCTGGGAAAAGCTGTGGGCCCGCTCCAAGCCCATAGTGAACTTCAAAGATGACTTGAAACCCACACTGGTGTGAACAGCAGCAGAGCTGGTCTGGACCTACAGGTGAGTCCATGAGAAGCCATACGAAGGCCCTCAGGCAGAGAGCCGATTTCTGGTCTTTGGGGAACAGACCAGTGCCCCGCATTCAACCAGCCCTTAACGTGTTTCGGCTATGCTCCAGCTTGCTCACCGTGTTACTGTGAGCACTTCTTGATCTATAAAAAGAAGGGTATTGCCTGTCTTCTTACTACCTCACAACATCACTGTAAAAGACTCCAGCTGAGTGACCATAAAAGATACTGACTCCTTAGATGAAAGGAGCTAAATGAGCACATAGGGTTTCTGTCTGGGTCAGCCTGCATTCTACAGAACTAGTAATATGTGATACATAGCAGGTGGACGGCTGAATGGACAGACAGGCAGAGAAATGGATAGGAAATTTCTGCAGAACTTGCACCATGGGGTCCAACGGGCCTTTAGGTGGACAGACCTGCCAGGAAGGTGGTAGTTTTGTTTCTGCCAAAGGCTGTGAACAGCACCACCCTGAGATTCCGGTTTCTGGACCGACTGAACTCAGAGCCACATCTACACTACTGTTTCTTGTTCACATCTTTCCACTATTATGTCACCTTAGTATTGTCCTTGAGACAGCCAGATCTCCACACACCCAGAGGCTACCCAGATCTTTCTCCTGGGTTCAGAATGTGCCTGAGACCCAGACTGTCCCTTGCTCCAATGGCCCATCCCTTTGACTCTCCCACTGGTGCAATTTTACACTGAGAGGAAGCACATACCAGCACTCTCCATTGGGGCAGGGGAGGTTTTGGTGCCACTGGGATTACATGACTACCAATAACACACAAACCTGGAAGCCGGATGAGGAAATCAGAAGGAAGAAATGAGGAAAGTCTAGCACTGTACTGGACAAATTTCAGTGATGCCTCATGATAGCCCTGTGGAGTAGACACTCTTGTTTTTATAGATGGGGAATATGAGGCTTAGAGGAAGGAAGTAACGTCCCTCAGCGCCATACTGCTGGACAGCAGCCAATGGAGGACTTACACCTCCTGCAACTCCAAGTTCGTGGACTTCCCTGGGGACACAACTCTTCACTCATTCTTCTGGGAGTGGCAGGCGAGACTTGGTGGGCCAGACAGTAAAGCAAGGCCAGCGTGAGACACTCACAATCTGGGATAACAGAACTGATTCTTCACCTTGGGAAACAGGCTTCCACTTCCTCACTGCCATAGGGCACAGCCCCCCAGGGAGCTGGTGAAGGATGAGCACCAGGAACTTGTCCTCTGCCAAAGCCGCAGGGGGAGCACAGCGGGGTCCACTCTGCTTGTTGCAGAGCTGGTTGTTAACAGGCTGTCCCCTGCCCCAGTCCCACGTGTACATCTGTGGGTGTTCACGTGTTTATGTGAAGGACGTTGGCCCTCATTAGATGTGCTCAGTGGGGGCATTTGGCTCTACAGGTCTTGGAGATTTATCCTGGACTCTTGAGGCTGCTGACACCCCGTGATTCCTCAGCCACTGGACCAACAGGCCCTCCTGGTAGCACAGCTTCTGACATCTACTTTAACATATTAACTTCTTAATTTATTCTGTGTGTGGGTTTATAATTTGTTCTGTGTTTGCTGTCCAAGTGGTACTTTAATAAAAGAGAAATGCAAAGCTCTTCAGAAATTTTAGTTTGGGGCTGGGGAAGAAGGGACCTGAGTAGAGTGAACCACCCAAAAGAGGGGAACCACAGAAGTTGCTACTGGGTTCTAAGTGTACCTTCTACCAGACTTCCATCTGTAACAGATTCTTCTATTGTCTCCCTGGGCAGCATCTTACCCCAGAAACACTCTGCCCACTGGGTGGAGGAAACACTGGAGACCCTGAACTCTTCCCACCCCCTGGGAGTCCTGTGTCTGGGCTTCCCCTCCTTCAGCTCCGTTCCCGCAGCCTACCACCACTAGCAGCCTAATATTCACTAAAAGGACCCTGCAGACTCTAAACCCAGCAGTCCTTCTTGCCTTCTCACACTGCTTCTAGACCAGTGATTTTCAATCAGTGTGCTGTGGCACCCTGGTGTGCTGTGAGAGGATCTTAAATATGCCTTGAAAATGTGTAAAGATCATTAAATTATTTTTGAAAGAAGTTCAAAGCATAGTAAGAATATATACATATATATATATCATATATATATATATATTTTTTTTTTTTTAATTGCAGATTTTGGCTGGGGTCAGGTTTGCACCCACCACCTCCGGTATATGGGGCCAGTGCCCTACTCCTTTGAGCCACAGGCACCACCCAAGTATATTCTTTTTTTTTTCAATCTTTTTTTATGAACATAATTTGGGTGCCATGGAAGTGTAACTATACGTTCAAGTGTGGTGTGAGATAAAAAAGATTGAAAAACACTCTATTCTAGACCCTTGGCCTCCCCATCCCAACCCTTCCACATTTCCATCCTTTTATCCAGAATTTCTTTCCCCACTTTGTGTACCTTGTGAATTAGTCATCTTTCCAGACTTAGATAAGAACATACATTCTCTCTTCAGCTTTTCCTGAACATCCCCCAGATAAAACTGACAGATCCTCTAGTTAAATAAGGAAGAACATTTAGGGGGTTGTGTTTTGGATTCAGCTGTATAGAAACTTCTATCATTCATTTGACCTAGAATGACTGTGTAATCCTTGCCAGACCTAGTGGAAAATGTGGAGAATTTACCCTAGATAGTCCTTATTTATCATTTGGTTTGAATACTACATACCAAACACCATGACTGCCTGCCCCAAAATATTGTCTCCAAATCTACTGTTTATTCTGTGTACTAGTCTTCTCCAGCTCCTTTTCTAAATCTTCTACCCAAGACCAGCTAATCCACTGATGAAATTCTTAAAGGGCTAAGTGTGCAATGGAGCCTGCTCTTGGTTGTTAAGCTCCTGAAGAAAGGGCAGTAATTGTGCAAAGGAATCTAAAAGAAGTAAACATTGTCTCTGCTGCTGTCATCATGCTATACAAGTCTCTGTCCCAAGGTGCAGCATGGAGCCAAGCCTGACTCTGAACCCAGCATATGTTCTCTGCTGACTGAACATCTTGGAATTGGAGTTATCCTATCCACCCTAATCCCAAAGTCTTTTCTTATCTCCTGGCTTGTCCCAGACCCTCTTTGTACTTGGCCTTCTTGGACTTCAAAGAGGAGAAAAAGCATTAGATGTAGGAGGCCTAGTTTTTGTTTGTTTGTCTCTTAATTTTTTAGGGCCAAGTTCTTGTTATGTTCTTCAGGCTGTCCTCAAACTCCTGGGCTCAACTAATCCTCCCACTCCAGCCTCCCAAGTAGCTGGAAATACAGGCATGAGCCACCACCAGGCCTAGCTTAGGAGGCCTGTTTTTATGCAACCATATCACTTGGATAATGTGTCATAAGATTAGAGGAAAAAATAAATAAATAACAAAGAACCTCATAACTTTAAAAATGAAAAAAAGGAAAGCCTGGAACTTGTTATAATTACCTTAGAATTCCCTCACACTTAGCACTGCGCCTGGAACATGGTTGCCCAGCAAGTGTTTGTCAAAAGAAATCAATTAAGAGAAGAGTCACGTCACCAGAGCTATCTCAAGGGGGAGCACAGTGAGGCAACTCACAACAGCTCACCCAGGAAGCAGGGCTTAGGTTTCTTATCAGCTTATATTAGGTGTTACTGACTCACTTAAGTTTAAAGTTGTTGTGCTTTGTCAAAATTAGTAATTTTAGACAGGCTCTCTTTGGCATTAAATTTTTTTTGAGACAAGGTCTTACTCTGTCACCCAGCCTAGAGTATAATGGCATCATCACAGCTCACTGCAACCTCAAACTCCTGGACTCAAGTGATATGCCTGCCTTAACTGCCCAAGAAGCCAAGACTACAGGTGTGCACCATCACACGTGGCTAATTTTTCTATTTTTTGTAGAGACTGGGTCTCGCTCTTTCTCAGGCAATCTGCCACCTCAGTCTCCCAATGTGCTAAGATTACAGATGTGATCCACCATGCCCAGCTTCCATTAATTTTTGTACAATAATTTTCTACCCCTCTTGCAATGCCTAGGCTTAGTCACCCATGTGTCTGTGTGGCTGTTAGCAAGTTGCATACATAACCTTTTTGTGGCTCAGTTTCCCCAGCTACAAACTGGGATAAAGCACCGACTTCATGAGATTGTTATGAGTGCTCAATAAATTAGTATTTATAAAATGGTTTGAACTGTGTCTGGCATATAGCAAGCATTATATAAGTGTTTAAAAAGGTATTTGGAAAACAGATTCATTTCCAAAAATCCTCTTTATGTTTTCTTGCTTTACACCGAAATTCCCCATCTCTTCAATTTGTTCCTAAGGGAACAGATCTGGCAAAGTGACAATGGCCTTTAGGGCAATGTAATTTTCTCCCTGAACCATTTTTAATCAGGTGCACTTACTGTAGGGAGCATATCCAATGTCAGGATGAGACCCAAGGGAAAAGTATACTTGGTAAGTCAGGAAATCTGATGTTTTTAGGATGGAGCCAAACAACACAACTAATTTTCTTGGTAGAAATATTATGCAACTTTATAATTTAAAAAAACATATACAGGATACCCACCATGTGCTATTTAATGCTTTTGTCATTTATTTATAACCACCCAGCAAAGTAATTATTGCCCCTGTTTCACAGATGAGGAAACTTTAACTGAGAGAGGTTGGATAACTTGCTGAAAGTCACACAACAAGTTAGAGGCACAGCCAGAGTTTGTACTGAAATCTGACTTGATTCCCAAGCCCTTTTCAGATGCCCCAGTGCCGATTACAGAGCATGTGCTACAGGCATGCTGCAGAAGATAGAAAGAATTTCAACCTGGCAGGGCAGGGGACCCAGGCTGAGGTTTTCTTAGGACACAAAGGCTTCCTTAGGAAAAGCAAGCTGGTCTGGTTCTGCAGGCCTATTGCAAAACCCTCTACTGCTGAGTCATTGAGTCACCATCCCGAATGCTAGAAGGAAGCTCTCTCTAAAGCTACCTAGTTACTCCCCTACTTCAGGAAGTTCAATGCCAGATATAAGTGATACTTGTTCAAAAAGACCAGTCAGTCCCCCGAGTTGAAAATATTTTCTCAAGCACTGTGCTCTTTAAGTGGCACAAGAAGATGATGAGAGACCCAGATGTCCCTGTGACAACTTGATCTTCTGCGGAACAGAGGGAAGAGACACAGACTCTCTTTTCAATTCACACATCTACTTTGCTGAAAAACCTTCATTGCTCTCCAATTCCTGCAGGATGAAATCTCACCTTGGTTGAGGTTTGAGTCCCTCCCTTATCGAGCTCCACACCCTCTTGTCCTCAACTTACCTTAAACTCCCCTTGTTCTTGCCAAGTGAGTTTACTATCTATTTCTGGAGCAGACCCAGGCCAGCTCAGGCCCTGCACTTTTGTTTACGCCTGCCCCTTTTTCCTTCATCTTTCAACCCCAGCCTAAAGTGGTCTCTCCTCCTGACCAGTTCCAGCTGTTCTCAGATTTACTAGGCAATAAATCATGTATTTCTGATGTGACCCTTTACAACAGTTCTATTGATATATTGGGCTGGTACATAAATCCTTTATTGTTAACTTTTCACATGCTCATATCTTGCCTCTCCCAGTAGGTTATCAGAGACTGGAGAGCAAAAGCCATGTCCAATTAATTGTTAAATTTCCATTCTATCTTATGTGGTGTCCAGAGCCTAGTAGACATTGGCCTACTATTGAAGATGAGCCCTCCCTTTGCTCCCACCTTCTTCTTGGTACTAAGAGTATCCTGAGCAGATAAAAGAGAATTTGGTGATATCCTCCTCTCAGACTGTACTTGAAGTTTAATTTCTGAGAATCTTTTTTGCCTTATTGTAAAGGGAGGATTCAAACATTTCATAGCCAGGTATTATGAATGGGGGTTAGATATACTGTTGGAAGAAACTGAGCTAACAAGACCCATGTAGGAAGGTCTTAGTTCACTTTGTGTTGCTATAACAAAATACTACAGACTGGGTAATTTATAAAGAACATAAATTGATTTCTTACAGTGTTGGAGGCTGGGAAGTCCAAGATCAAAGTGCTGCCTGGTAAGGGATGCACCCTCTAGAGGGGAAGGATGTTGAGTCTTCCCCTGATGCGAGGCACAAGGACCAGCAAGCTAAAGGCTGCGTGGAGCCTCTATCATAAGGGTCTTATTCTCATTCATACAGGAGCAGCTCTCATGGACTAATCACGTCTTAAAGGCTCTATCTCTTAATATCATAGCTCACTGGGGTAACACTTGAATTTTGGAGAGGAGACATCCAAACCACAGCAATTCCTAAAACCATGAAAAAAATTTTCCCCAACATCCTCAATATCCTCAACAAACAAAAACAACAACAAAATACCTCTCTGTATGGTTTCTATCCATGAACAGCTGCAGGAAG